TGATCTAGAGGTTGCCTAATCCAGGCAATGGGAATCACGAGAATGTCAGACGGTGATCTGTTAGAGAGATATCCACATAGGCAGTTGCCTATCACCGCAAAAATCCGAACTGAATAACCATTGAATTTTTCTTTAATATGGTCTTTTAATACCTCCAGAGACAAGAGGTAGTACATATCTATGTCAAAATTTCTAGACCCAGTCGATGGGAAACTAAACGACGTCTAGATAGACTACAACTCACATATGATGAGACAAGGGTGAATGTGAAAAGGTCAATTAAGTGGAACCTACAACCTTTGTAGGGCTGAAATAATTTTTGCTTTAGTACGTAAGTCAACCCCTCCACCATCCCCAGGCTTGCGTCACTGTGTATGTTCAGCGCATAATCAAAGACAATCACAAACCGGTGCCTGGCCAATCTAATTTTGATTTAAGAGTCTTAGATTAATCGATTCTGATAGCTTTCCTTCACAAAACACAGATTACATCCCCATCGCCCTTAACTAAGTCAACACTCATTACCCCTCCCTAGATCACGCCGAAGGATGACCACCACGCCACCATCTCTAACAGAGCATCTTTTTGCTCTCGATCCAGAGAAGTTCAAAGTCGCTACTCAATCAAAATTCCTTGAAAAGGCCGGAAATGGGACTTTAAGCAAGGAGATACTGCAGGAGTGGTTGGCCCAGGACAGATTATACGCACAAGCCTACATCCGTTTCGCCTCCCTCCTCTTGGCCAACCTCCCTTTGCCCTCTACCGTATCGCCTAACCACATTAACGAACGACTAGTCGACCTCATTATCGGCGCAATTACAAATGTACGTCGGGAACTGAAGTTCTTTGAAACTGTAGCAAGCCATCATGGATTGGTCTTGGAAGCAAGTACAGTTGGTGCCGGTGTTCGCGCGTACCGAGACCTCTTCACAAGTATCGGAGAAGAAATTGAAAAGGATGAATGCAGTATTCTCGATGGCTTCGTCTTACTTTGGGCAACTGAGAAGTGCTATCTCGATGCCTGGACGTATGCATCCACCTTCTCTGCTCCCGTTTCATCGCCCCCCGAGCAGGATTGCGATGGAGGGGCGCTGAGGAAGGAATTCATTCCAAATTGGAGCAGTCCAGACTTTAAACAGTTTGTGGATAAATGTGCGGAGGCAGTGGATGAAATCTGGGCCGGATTGCAAGAGGAAAGAAACGGAGAGCTACTGGTAAAGAAGAGCTGGTGGGGGCTGGGGAGAGATGGAGAAAACAAGGCTCAATGGCTAGAACGACTAGGAGGACTGTGGAAAGAGGTCTTGGAAGCAGAGAAAATCTTTTGGCCAGATGTTAAGGATGAAAATGAGTTACATGAATGAACTGCGAATGCCTGTCAGGTTTTTCAGCGTTATAAGTATTCTTCGATTAACACAAATTAACTATAACTAGAATCATAATGCTGGTGGTTCTGTTCTATCATTACATTGCAGCTCTAAGTATTTATGCCTAGACTTTGTCTTGCTCTTAGGTTCCTTTTTGCGACTATTTCATCAACTACATCATCCTCCAATTTCTGGATAGCGGCGCTAGAGTAATCAGGAAATGGCTCGCCTTGCGACTTTCTTATCCAACCAACATAAGGATCCTCATCTCGAACCAATTGTAAGTACTCCATGAATCTCTTCCGGATATGATCAGGGGTGTTGTTTCCGTTCAAAAGCGGTGTCTGTTGGGATTCGAAGATAAGCTCCATAGCCTGCAGAAGCGCAACCTGAGATGAAGTCCGTGGTACAGCACGCTTCATGTGGTCTTTCAGTAATAGATAGAAAGATATACGTCTATTGCCGCCACTCAGGTAAGTATCTTGCAGGCTCAACTCATATGAAGCTGGGTAAAATCCTGCAAGCTCCCAATCAATAATCCCGACCAATTTATACTTCAGCTTGCCGTCGAAAGAAATGTAAGTCTGAAGGATTATATTACGCGGAGTGAGATCGTTGTGACATAATACAGCTTCTCCTGGCCATTTGTTGATGTCCGAGTTATCGACAAATATTGAACCAAGGTCTTCAAAAACTGACTGGACATTGATACCTTGAGTGTTAGCAGTCGGTTGAATACTACAAAATGGTGTGTTAAGCTTCCTCCTTTCGGCAATCGAGTTTAATAAATCAATACCGTCATTCAGAAATCCGGTATGAGGGCCGCCAAAGAGAGTAGTCTGGTCAAAGCTCATTAAAGCTCTACTGATTTCTGCATAACACACCTTGCCAAGTATCTCTCGTACCTTTCCGTCACTTAGCCGGACACAATGCAGTTTATTGAGAGCCTCAACAAGCTCAATCACAACCGCTCGCTGGTCCTCAGCATTCATTCGATCCCACACGGTTTCCAAGGTATTCCCTTCTACAAATTCAGCCACCGAGAAGTAGAACGCTCTTCCTTGCGCATTTGTTGCTCTGCCACTTTGAAGAGTCTGTGGGACAAGTTCTGGAATGAAGTTGCCGCAATCTGCTGTAAAGCAGCTACAATAGTGAACGTCTCGGCGCTCTCATTCTCGGACTCTAGTCGGACTACACATACAGGGCGATGATGCTCGGGAGCATCGAGGAATTCTACTTTGAACACACATTTGTCCCAATTGTGAAGGATAATTGAAATTTTTCTTGGTTCGCTCGAAGTGAAGATTTGCTCGAGGAGGCTATCATCGGGGGTAACGTCGCGACTTGCCATGACAGGAAAGAGAAGTTTGAGCTTGATTTGGCTAGTATCAAAACAAAGTAAGTGTTGAATAACCACATGTGATGCTGCAATCCAGTATCTTCTGGGAACATCTCATTGAGTTGGTTAGATTTTTCCTATTCTCAAGACAACAAAGAAAGATACTCTACATCTTAATTAGGTTAGTGCGTTGATGGCGGCTCATTCACAAAAGGAGTCACACCAATGCTTGGACTGTAAAATACCAAATATATGCCGGTCTAAAATGATCTTGTATCATTGTTTCATATTTAACATGTCTTAGATATACGGGGAATGTTTACCTGCTCAATATGATGTAGTGTAGATAGAATTGTATTGAGCCTAGTTCTTAGGGCTACAGCTATCTTCTCATATTTTCATCCAGTATTCTCTAGTATACTGGGGCATCTGATTACATCACTGATAGCTGAGAAAGGTTTGAGAGCTTAGTAGTATAGTCTTCTGACTTGTCTACCCATCGTCCGCATATTTCGTATCCTCATGCTAACTTACTACGAGGCTTGAATTCATCCTTTCCTGTGCATATAATCCCATCACAGACTTAGAAATCAATTGAAGGGAGCTAAATCTTGTGTAGGTGAATATAAAAAACTTTTGACAAAATTTCGTATTGCGGGGTTTCAATGCCGAAAATAGCTTCGGTCTCTAATGTCACGAAACATCCTGCACCCCGCAAGTCCTCCTACCGCCTATGAGCCGGCCCTGTAGTAGATGCTTTCTTGGTGCCAAAACAGAGCGGCTTGGAGTGTTACTACACCAAATCCTATAGGTGGAATTTCTGTCATAAAGATTTCACAACATAGCTTCCGAATGATGTCGATTCGTTCTTTTATAATTCTAAAATAAAATGGATCCGCTCATCCGAACATATGGAAGCTAAGAATGCAATTTTATAATATACCGCACCAATAATATAAAAGTATTGTGACATACGTATAAATTTTCAAATAGAGAGGAGCTTTGAAAAGATAAATCTTTAGAACGGCCATACCATTCCCTTAGATTTCAAACTACCTTTATATTTCACCTATGTCACCTACCATGTCCTTGAAACAGTACTGCGCTCTGATCGCACTTGCAGTCCTCATAACCCCAATCGCGGCATCTGCGATCCCAGTACGAGGATTGACTTTCCCTTGGCCTGGACAAAAGCCACCCGCATTCTACCTCGCAGGTGACTCCACCACAGCAGCACAATCGGACGCAGGAGGAGGCTGGGGAGTTGGGTTTCTCAAGACATTGACAAACAAAGCAATTGGAACAGACCTGGGATATAATGGCGCAACAACAGTGTCTTTTGTCCATGGAGGAGCATGGGCTAATGTCATTGATGCTGTGACTAGGAGTAAGGGGTCATACGACCCTTATGTAACAATTCAGGTACGAGCTGCTATATAAAGCCGCGGCTACTTAACTAAAACTCAATACTGATATATCATAACAACTAGTTTGGCCACAATGACCAAAAAGTATCCGCAAATATCAGCATTGAAGAGTACTCAGATAATCTCAAGAATTTTGCCTTGGAAGTAAAGGCAGCTGGAGGAACACCCGTATGTTTCGTTTCATCAACCAATATTGAACATCCCATATCTCACAGCCTCTCACAAAAACAGATCCTCGTAACTCCCCTCTCACGACGAAATTTTAATTCCTCAGGTCTTGTGACTGAGGACCTAGCCCCTCAACGTCTCGCCACCATCGCAGTAGCCAAGTCATTACACATCGATTACATAGACCTCAACGAAGCAAGTACAAAGTATCTGGATGCTATCGGTGAAGCCAATTCAGCTACGTATAATCGGATCCCGAGCGATTTTACGCACCTGAATCCTACAGGGAGCGTGGTGTTTGGGGATATGGTTAGCTGGTTGCTGACAAGTACCACGTCGGTTAAGGCAAAGTTGAAGCCATACACCAGACCGGATGAGACGGTAGTGAGAGATATTGAGAGAGGAGTATACGTATTTCCTAGGGCCTAACAGTGCTTAACTCTTAGCCGTTCAGGAAATTTTATATAAAAGTGATTAGATAAAGTATGTCTATATTACAAGCCGGTTTATGAATTTCTAGTATTGAGATACTTGCATGTTGTTTCGAGATATACCCGGAAACAGAGTCCATATATCATTCTATCGTAATTCAACATTTTGTAGAGCTAAAGAGCCCCAAGGTCGAGTTGAGTAAATTGCCGAGTTGAGCTTTTCTCAACAGTCCTATAGAGAAATGGATAAGGAGGGCGCCAACCAATAATCGGCCTAGTAGCGTAATGGTTAACGCGTCAGATTTCGGTCAACTGAAATCACCATCTCTGAAGATTGGGAGTTCGAGTCTTCCCTGGGTCGTGAATATATTTTTTTTCTTTGATTCTTTTTATCTTTGTGACATTCGTCCATCGATTGTTGATGCAGCCCCTTTATGCTCTTTTTCTATTGCTTAAATAAACGAATAGAGCCAATAGTTCAACGTATCGCCACGTTGAGCTACACCGACTACCATTCCACACTCATAGCCTTACTAGAACGAATGCTTGATAATCTCTGTTTTGGTATATGTTGGTTCGGTCAATCGCGTTATCCCATGACAAGTAGCAAAAAAATGGATTGTGAAAATCCTACTATGCAAGTACTTTCAAACTAAATGGTGCTATGTACAGAGGTCTAACAGAGTTCTATTTCTTGCCATTTATAACTATACTCTTCATAAACCAACGCTTGGCCCTCCATTAATCCATGAACATAACATTCGCCAATTAGAAGATATGAGCCCCCTTGTTGTTGGAGGACGAAGGGTGTTCTCGCTCCCGGCACTACCCAAATTTCGTATGGTGAAGAGTTTTCATCGAGGCTCAATTCCGGAAACACCCCTAGTTCTTCATCCCAAGTATCCGGGCATTCCTTTCCTATTACATGAGGGCCAATCCCAAGATAGCCCGTTTCTGTAACGAACAAGCATCTATTGTTGCAAGCAGACTGAACAGCTCTCTGGAAGTATATATAGTCTTCAGAATCCTGCTGCTCTGGCTGCTTATCTGGATCTTGGCCAGCTTCGGAGCCTCCTTGCATTCTAATCTCGTAAAATGAATCTTCCTGAAAGCATTCACAAAGTATCGAGGTATGCGCAGAACGGAGGATTGTTGGCCTGTAATTTTTACGTATCTGGAATGTGGTGGCAGCATCCTTAAATAGACACTCTGAAAACTTAGTAAACGCTTTCTCGTGAGCAATGAAGTCCTGGCTGGAAGCCCATCGCCGGAGTCCAGCAGTTATCGTTAGAGAAAACGCAACCCTGATTGAACAACCGGTACGATATTGATTGCAAGACTTTCCGTCTTCCACAAACTCTATCCAGAGCCAGTCTAAGTAAGTCGGAAGATCGTAGCTCCTATCACCCCTTGCACCCCTTAAGTTTTCGAAACTACCCCAAGCAAGCTTTGGATAGACTTTACTGATGCGGCAAATCTTGAGTGCCTTGATTTTGAGTTTGCTCTGATCGACAACGTATCTCTGCTGGCTACGATTTCCCCCTGCTGCAAGGTGGTCTAGCTTACAGAAAGGCATAATGAAGGAGTTACTGAATGTCGGTACCCAAGTTGGAAACTCCTGGTAAACTTCCTTACTGGGGATCATACTATGTAATACATATGACAAACAGTCAAAACCATCCTCCTGGAGCATTTGAATGGAAGCGTCCAAGAAAACGCGCCAAGTAGGGTTTTTGTAGTCTAGCTGGATATTTACGATGGCACTGGCCTAAGGACCCAAAAGCTTGTCAGCCGTCCTCCAGGGGATTTCAGTTGGACGAGCGTCGGTCTATATCTCACGAAGCATGACCAAGTTGCATGGAGATATGCTCAGTGGGCACGGCGGCTTGTTGATGGTGACACTGTTCCAGTGGGCGTTCTGAAGATTGCTATCCCAGATGTTTTATTATCTTCGGTCTACGAACTCAAAGGAGATGAGTGGCGCACATTTGTCTGGAGCAACCGCAAAAGCTTGGACTTGCCTGATGAGCTTTCACATATTGAGACCTTCCAATGGTTGGTTGGCCCGATTTGTCACGACAGTAATGACAAACTCGACCGAATGGGCAGTAAAGACGAAATGTCGGTATGGAAACTGGATTCCAGCACCACTGCGCAGCAGCGGTTCACATCATCTCTGCAACTGATGGCTCAACTGAATACAGAGTGCGTTGCGAAAGTCTGGGTGACTGAATTGGCGAAGGATAAAAAATAGACACTGAGCAGCTGTGATACTTGGGCATAGATCCTGCGTTGTCGGGAGCATTGTTTAGGATCTCCGAGAATAGTAATTGGGGTAATCGGCTCTCAAGTGAAGTTGTAACTAGACATTGATGGCTCCTAGGAGTATTAGAGAATTGAAAAGCTTATTGCACAAGGGCCAATGCTGATGATCTAGCCTATTACTAATATCTTAAAGAAGTAATAATTAGCAACTGTGATGAGCTCTTAAGCTAAATAATATACTATTTACCGTCTATTTTTCACATTTCATTTCAAAGTGCTACAAATTGATCTATGAGTCACCCAATTATATCACAATTCCTTCCCTCACAACCGCAACTTCCCCATTCTTAGGACACAACAGTGTGCCATACTGATTCAACATAACAAGACTCAATGTGCCACAGCTAAACCAATCTTTTGGCAAGAAGAAGTGCCTCGTATATTTGGCACTGTCACCACTCCTGAGATCCCAGGTACATATCCAATGCTGGTTATCTAAGAACACTAAGTACTCGTGTTGCGTAACTCCAACCAGTTGATGTACACACTGCGCTAGAAGGGGGAGGCTTATGCGTTGCAGTCCGCAGCCATCATCCAGATCTATCATCTCAAGCTTCCGTGAAACCACTCGCCCCTTTCTGGGTCCATACTCGCGGCTCGAGCTATATTCGAGAATGAGATATCGGTCCTGAAGTACAAGAACGCGTGTTAATGGATCCAGGATTTCATCACTCCTGAATCTAGAAAGTGAGCTCTGAAGAGGCTCCTCAGCACCTAAGTTTTCAATTTCCTGTATGTTCTGCTCTTGATCATCTAATCCAGGTGAATAACTACTGACTCTGTCAAGGTTACTCCAAAGATACAGTGCTTGGCTTCTGCCTTCAATGCGGACGAGTAGATAAGAATTTGTTGGATGTTGCTCCCACCGTCTAGGTATCTCGTCACGGCGAGATACTTGGAATAATTTCTCCTTAGTTTTAGTTCTATATATTCGATCCCAAGAGCCACTTGATACGAGGAGGAATTCTTCTGACCTACTGAAGAGTAGCTGAGTGACCGCGATGCCGAGCCTGAAATCAAGAAGAGGAAATACCTTCCACCTTCCTTGCGAGTCCGTGGGTTTCTCAAGTCTCTTTGCTATCAGGCGGCCTGAATCATCAACCGAAGCAATATATCTCTGACTGTTTGACCACGCCATCTCGACTACTGATGCCGAAGAGGAATGTGCGTATAATTTCCGTTGTTGCTTTGCAGTGTCCATCTCAAAAATCACAACAGTCCCGTCCTCTTTCCCTGTGCAAAAATAACGGTCATCAGCACTAGAAACTATTGCAGATATCTGGGGACGATTATATTCATCAGATGAAATGATAGGAGCGGAGTAGAGAGTGGTATCTTCTTCATCAGAGCCATCGGAACGTATAAGTGCTTCCGGCTCCCAGACATTACACAATGTTCCTCGGACATCGTAAAGTCGTTGACCATCTGGAGAAAAGACAACATCCCTCACAAACTCATCATATGTGACCTGATACACCAAGCTGAAATTAATTGTGGACCAAACACTCAAAGTACCATTACTATCACCAGTTAGTAGTAGACTGCCATCAAGGCTTACGGCCATTTCTCGAGCCTTCAAGTCGAAATGCTCAGTTTTTAACTGATTGTCGAGATTCCAGTCTACCACAACTGTATCATGATACAGTATAAGAATATTTGGTGAATTCGGCCGCCATAAGACTACTTCTGCTGAATTCCACACATCTCCAAATCTCTTGTCCATATCATCCCTTCGAATGCAACGAAATGGCTTTGGTCCTAGTTGTTGGGTAATCCTCCATATAACAACAGGTCTACCAGGGTAGGCCACCGCGATCCTTTGGGCATCTTGGCTGAAAGACATCAGCCTGGGACAGCTATGTTCAGGCTCCGATGGGTCCTCGGTTTGAAAATACCACTTTTCTTCCGACGAGCTGAGATCGATGCATCGAACAGTGCAGTCATCATATGCCACAAGAAGTTCGGCATCATTAAAAGTGAATGCGAGCGACATAAGGCGTCCCTGGCTTGGCTTTGTTATACGGTATATCTCTTGGCCACTGTCAACTTCCCAAACGCGGATCGTCTTTACACCCCCGGTCGCAATGAGGTTAAAGGACTTGCTAGCTTTGATGGCCGTAACATATTCTTCATGATAAAGTCTTCGGATTTCTTCACATGTTTCTGCACTCCATATGATGATGGTTCCACTACTGCCAATAAGAGTGACAAAATGATGGTCTCCCGCAATGACCTTGCTTGCTCTTTCATCTCCACCCATGGTCAACCTAGCCAGGCAATCATCCCATTTTCCAGAAGAGAGACCCTTGACAGAGATTACGCTCTGATTCGAGCCTTGGAACGTCGAATATAACATTGAATCGTGCGGGCAAAATGAAACAACATATTTGTGAATGGAAGAAGGCTTCTCAATCAAATACGGGCCAAATCTGCCAACTACGCGGACAAGGTCGTTTGCCCATTGCCATAGTTCTTTAGCTAGGTTCGGATCGTGAGCTGATCTTGTAATTGGTGCTTTAGCGGCGTGGAAGGTTGTCCGTTTTAACCAAGCTTTTAGAAAAGTAGCCGATCGTGTGAGGATTTGGAGGTTGCCGCGCAGCGCAGCTGCATGAATCCAGAGAAGAGAATACTTTCTAAAGAAGTCAAGAACATGGGGTAGTAGTGGGTCAGATTTTCCACTACCTGTGCCAGCACAAGTCACATGATATGCCCAGTGTGTTACTGCATACCAGAGGAATGGATCGTCCAACGGAGGATGAGATCTCATTTGCTTAGTAGTTGAAGGAAGTGAATCCTCAACCAGTGAGAATTTCTCCCTCCATTTTGAAGTATTGGAAAGAAATCCTATACATGCTAGCGCAATACGCTCATGAACCTGACCGCTATCAATCGATATTGGAAGCATTGAATTTTCTTCTAGGAGAAATTGCCGTGCAGTTTCATGTATCAACGATACTCTCTCCCCCTTCACCTGGATAAAATTGCCACAAATGCGAGCCATGGCTGCTTCAAGACTCTGAGCATTATGAAATTTGA